ATTAAAAAAAAAAATGCAAATAGTCTCAACTGATCCCTACTTTTCTTTCTTGGAACCTTGACTTAAAGATACCATCATAAGTGGTATTTGCATGAATGTAACTGACTGTTGCTTTTGTGTTGAATTGCAAGGTGCCAGTTGAGGAGAGCTGTAATCTACCATGGCTTGGTTTTCAGATCTTCAGGCTCTCCTGTTGGAGCTTTGAGCTGAAATACAGATACACCAGCTATGAGAAACAAATGAAAGCTCTCACCAGTGTCAACAGCAAAAGCCAGGGGTCCATCCCACACAAATTATGGACATCTGTATTCCTAATTGGCATCCTTTTGGGCCATGCCAGGAGAAAGTCAGTGCCAGGAGAGTCTGACAGCTTTAGAAAAGACTAAGTCTCAGGTTTAGGTGGTAGGAGACGCCGATGAGGCACGGAAGTTCTTTTGTATGCAGTACTCTCCAGGCGCTTGTTATAATACTCGAGACTTTCAGCTTCAGGTACCTCCACCCTTTGTCACCCTTCGTCAGTACTGCATTCGCTACTCCTAACACAGATCAGTTTGTGGTCTTAGAACAAGTGGATGGTTCTGTGATCAGATGGTTGGCAAAGATGCCTACAAATGGTTAACAAGGTAATGGTAAGAAATGTTGACCTTGATTTGTTTAGCTAAGATGTAAAGATTTTTGAAGGTCAAAGGTGTCCTTGTGTAGTGTTTTGGAGTCTAACTGTGTCTGACCCTCTAACATTAAGCTGCTGTGGCCTGCAGTTTTGAAGAGTGAAGCAAACCAGGGGGAAAGAGGGAAGGGGGAGAGAACAGGAAATGGAGTGAGGTGTTTCAGGAAGTTGTCAGGGGTTGACTGATTGATTCCAGATGGAAAAGGTCAGCCTTCGTGACCCAGGAAATACTCACTAGGGGAAAGAAGCTGGCTGGTGGAAGGGGAAGGGCTGGGAGGGAGACGCTGTCGGAATGCACGTTTCACTTCCTTTCGTCTTCAAACCTTTAGAAACATTAACTTCTCTGAATAGAATAATATCGATGTTGTCACTGTTCATCAGAAAACAGTGAAGGAAGTTAAATTCGAAGATTTGAATGTACCAGTTGCATCTTCGCCTCCATCATGCAGTTCATTCTTCCAGAAGGAGGGCGAATATTTGGAAAAATCAGTACTTGTGTGTGTCTCCACCAAACATGTCTGGTTGCACGTGGTGGAGTTTGTGAACTAAATCCTTTACATTTTGCAAATTCAGTTAAATTGGCAGGCTCTCCTGGATGCCTCAGAGCCTAAGACATTTGGAATATTAAAAACGAGAGCTTGCCTCGTATCTATCTATATATATACAGGCACACGCACATACATTTGGACATGATTTAAAATCTTGTAATAAATTTTGCAGACACTGAAATAATTCAGGTTAATTCCCTTGCTGTCATGAGGGGCCCATGCTGGCCGGCAAGAGATTAAAATTTATTTCCATTGTTAATAGAAAATAATGAAGTGCATCTGAACCATCAGGGTATGTCATTCGGGAAATGTTCTCTTTGGAACCGAGTCTCACTCCACCCAAATGGACAATGATGAAATCAGCTGGCTCAAGAAAGCCCCATATTTTGTGGCAGGAATGCACGCGGAGCATTCAAGTACAATATAACAGGGAGCTTGTGGAATGAATTAAAGTGGTCTCAGAGAGAACGCTCGTCCCAGCCACATAACCCTCAGACAGGCTGGGCTTCCCCTCTTCGTGCCCAGTAAAGCTCGTTAGCAATGAAAGCCTGAAGGCTCGCTCTCTCTCTCTCTTTTTTTTTCCCAGGGATGACAGCTATGTCTTTGAAAATCCATTCACGCACACAATTTATAAAAGTGATCTGACTCCTCTTTTTCCACCGCCTTCTATTATTTTCGGAGGGTGAGCATGAACAGAGGTGAATGCTTTTGACCTTCATGTTCATCCTGACCCCATGACCAGGAGACTCAGTCCTTCCCTCCCTCCGCCTACGATGCTGTCCTGTGCTCTGCCAGGAGTGCTCTGCCAGGAGTGCTCTGCCGGGAGGGCCCTGAGAAGAGCCTGTGCCATGTGCCCTTGCAGAGGATGATGCATGTCTGTCCCATGGTGGCCACCGCATGACAGGAACTTTCTGGAAGGCCTTTCCCCAGACTCTTAACATGTTAACATGGACACAATTGAAAACAGACCTGGAGCTAGACAGGTTGCATGTGACTTGTGAGCAGTTCTACTGATAATAATTTTCTGAATGGTAATGGAGTTTCCTTTAAGTTCATTCTGATGTCGTGGCAAGGCAGGGACACCATCCTGGTAGTGCGTTGACAGGTGAGGAGCTAAAGTGTGGAGAGACACTGGCCAACCAGGAACACACTGTTCCATCATCTTTGAATCTCCAAGCCCTGACGCAGTACCGGGCACATAGCAGGAACTCAGTCAATGCTTTTGGGTTGATAACTGTGTGGAAAAATTCGTGTATGCCACAGTCATGCCCGTGACACCAGGCTAAGTGAAATACTTTGTGGACTATACACACACACACGTGCGCGCGCACACACACGCACACACTATATATACAATTTTTAAAGCTACCATCTGAAACTCTATTTAAGATAAAAATCAGGAGAATATTGCCTTGGCAAGGGGTAGTGGGTAGGATGGACTGAGAAGCAGCACAAGATAACTTTCTGGGGAGTTGGAGATGCTCTATATTATGATATGTGTGGATTACCTGGGTGTATCCATTTGTCAAAATTGTGCAGCTAAGATCTGTACATTTCAATCATATAATATCCCTTATATGTGGAATCTAAAAAAATGACCCAAATGCACTTATTTACAAAACAGAAAGAGACTCACTGACATAGAAAACAAACTTAATAGTTACCAAAGGGGAAAGTAGTGGAGAGGGATAAATTAGGAGTTTGGGATCAGCAGACAGAAATGATTATATGGACAGAAATTACTAA